CAAAAAAAATCTTATCGGGGTTGTTGGATGTCGTGGACTTCGTTGTGACTGTACGTTTTTCTCCCACAGGGGAACTCAGAAACTATTTTGCTCAGTTTGGGACTGTAAGAAAATGCATGTTGCCATTTGTGAGTATCTGCCTTTCTTTAGCTAATTGCCCCTTTATCCAAAGCAAATTAACGCTGCTATTCTTGTTATTTATCATATAATCAACAGGAGCTGGAAAGTACCTATTAGTTCATATTGTCCAACTTTCCCCACTAACTTGGGGTTGTTCCCTATGAACAAATGCTTAGTTTAGTCCCCATGGAAACTTCCACTACTCCTCTTGAGATTTTTTTTCCATGGCTTTGTTGATATCACTGTTAAGAAGCCTTTTCTTGTATTCTGATCAAATTTTCCTTAATTCCATCTCATTATATTTCCTTGGGCCACCCTAAATAACTCATATACCTTTTGGTGGTTCCTGCTTTCAGATTGTTATAAACAGTTATAGCTAATATTTGGACAACACTTCAGAATGTTAGAAGTGGGAGTCTGGACTTTTGGTTACTATTATGTGTGCCTACTGATGTACTTAGTGAGCTTGGCCACATAACCTTTTGGAGCCTTACTACCCATCTTCAGAGTGGGCATTATAATGTCCTATATTCATTGAACTCCTATGTTGCAAGATGTTATACAAATGCAAAGTTATTAGGTGCCTTAGTTGGTGTTGCTTAACTGGACATACGGCATTTGACTTTTTGTGTTAAATAAGCTGAAAAGTGATTTTTTGCTGCTTCACAGTAGCCCCTTGGTAGGCAATGAAGGAGCCAAATGGGGTGGCTGTAAAAAAAAAAAAAGAAAGTCCTTTATTCCACTTTAGCTGGGAAGATGGTTGTGGATGCTTCAGAAATATGGGAAGACACCCATTTTTAGGAAAAATGGCAGCTGGCTGATGCATGGTAGTTCATATAAACAATGCTTCTGCTTCCTCACTTCTGTCAATTGTCTTATGTCAAAATATTCTGACCAAATGGTGGTGAATAAATTCCATTCTGAAGATATAGCAGATGCATCTTTGCCATTCCTCTAATTCTCCAGGAGTTTAAAATATTTCTCTAAAGCTGTCTTAACTGGTAGGACACTGATTTCCAGTCCAGTTGTTCAAAAATGAATATTTTGACATGATAAAAGTATCTTTTCCCCTCACTGATAACCCCAATGTTAGTGAGCTACAGCTGGAAAACAAAACAAGCAATCCCCCTAAATTTCTAGTTGTGAACTGATCATTTTACCTAAGACTAGATTCAATAAGAAGTGGAGACCACTTGGGATGTGGGTGAAATTATTTGGGAATGCAGGGAATCATCTTATTTCTGAAAATAAAATTGATGTCTTTATCACCACTCTTTACGGGACACTACAAATGTCACACTGTGACAAGGCTGATTCAGCATAAGTTGGAAGTAGTGCTGCTGGTCATGATTGAAATCAGTGGCAGAACTAGCTGTAGCTCAGGCCTGAGGTACTTTGGCAGATTTGGCTATTGTAGCTAGCTTTTCTCTTCGTGGATAGCAATACATTCTTAAAAGTGGAAAGCCCATTAAAAGGAATTTAGGAAGTCACGGATTTTTTTTCCTATGCATCTTGCTTGTCTTACTATTGCAGTCAGCTTTTCTAGTATCTTAGACTACTGCTATAATCTTGTTCCCTCATTTTCCAAGGCTCAGGCTTGTGATTTAGATCAACCCCCATTTAAATGCTGCCACTTGTGGTAGACAATACGTAATGCCTTCAGTCTTGAACAAATAACCATACTGTGCTATCCAGCCTTTCAAACTGATGTTAAAAAGACAATGTTGGCTGCTGGACTCAAGTTGTGGGAGGGGAGGGGAGCAGCGTCCAGTTAAATTCAAGTTCACAAGGCAGTTGGGCTCAAGTGTTCTGGAAAGGGTATGATGGGCTCCTGAAAGAAAGTATTTAATTTTCTCTAGTGAACTAAGGATCTTTATCATGAAAAACTTTGTAAGAGGGTGCTGTAACAATGTCAGTGTAGTACTTTGTCAGTCTATTGAGCTACATTTTATTTTATATTTGGTGGCTAGGATAAACAAACAGGATTTCATAAAGGCTTTTGCTGGGTTGGATTCTCTTCAGAAGAAGGCCTTCACAATGCATTACAGAAGGAATCCCACATCCTAGAAGGAGTCAAGGTAACAGCTTGTTTTAAATGAACGCTTTATTTTATAAAAGAAACTGAACTCTTACCTCCTTTTGAGTAGGCCAGGGGTGCTGAGGAGCATTCTGTGTGCCTCTCCCAACACAAGTTGGATGAACCATCTGAACACTACAATAGAAGTAATGTAAAATTGACAGCTGTAACACTCCCCAACCTATAATTGAGAACTTTCTCTGAAGTTATCCCAAACCTCTTTTCCAGATAGTGTGACTAAGTAGACTCTGCAGTGTCTCTTGAAAGTCAAATTTCCCTCATATTGGACTAAAAGGAAGAAAACAAATACAAGACAGCCTTGAATTCAACCCACAGCTATATAAACTTGGGGACAGTCTATATCAGTGGCCCCAGACTTTTGAGGGTTGCGGCCCCCTTACTCTGTCTGTGCCTGGTTGGGAACTGGGCTGCACCTCAGTGGAGGTGGGGGAAGAGGGGCGGAGACTGGGGCCATAGGTGGGGGTGGATCTGGGAGGAGTTGAGCTACAGCCAGGCTGTAGTGGGAGCTGGCAGCTGGGCCTGTGGCCAGGTGTGGCTCTGCTCCTGGCTTCACTCCAGCCTCAGGCCTGGGCTGGGAACAGGGCTGGGCTGGGGTCAGGCATTCGGCTGGGAGCCCTGTCTCTGTCTAACGTTCCTCAGTTTGGGGACCTTTGGTCTGTATGAACATATCACTTGGAGTCAAGTAATGAGGTAAATAGGAACAGAAATTAATATATGCAAGACCTGAACTGTAAAGGGATTTAAACTTACAACCAACACCTTAAATTGCAGTGGAGATAACATGGGAGTCAGTGTAGGCTGTAGAGCACAGGTGTCATTCATATAACCACAACTAAAAAAAGCAGCTGCATTCTGCATTTCCAAGCTATTACACACTTTAATTAAACACCTGCAGCTGCCCTATGCCAGCTGACTTTGGGCTTGCAGGGGTTGGGCTACATAACTGTTTAACAGCTGTGTAGATGCTTGGACTGGAGTTCAGGCTCTGGGATAGTTTTCCCTGGCAGGGTCCTAGAACCCAAGCTCCGGTACAAGCGTTTGCAGTTAAACAGCTGTGTAGCCAGACCCCTGGTCAGTTGGCATAGGCCAGCTGCAGGTGTTTAATTGCAGTGTAGACATAGCTGAAGTAGTCTCATGTAAAGTATATTGCATGCATTCATACTGAAGGTCAAAGATCTAGATGACACTCCACATCAATCAAGGACTTTCTAGCCAAGTACAGAAGGGCTAGAAGGTGGTGGTTTGGGCCACTAAGGCTAGCTGGAAATCCAGCACCACATGAGGATTCAGTAGAAACCTTAGGTTTTGTATCAAAGGGTAGACATACTCCCTTACCTGAATTGTTCATTTCTTGTGCAATTCAGTATATCCCCTCTTATGTCCACATTGAATGTATTGGCTCAGTGCCCCAAAACTTGTGTGGATAAATGCTAGAGTCAGACAACTGAGTTGTCCAGGTTTGATGCAACAACTTTAGAGCAAAGTGTCAGAAAAGTGATGGCAGTAGAGCCCAACCGCTTGCTGTCTCCTCTAGCGGCCTCAGTCACAGGACTAACAAGACACTGGCTCCTTCAGTCAGTAATTGCCCCAAACTACTCCATCCTTTCATGGGGACTCATTTCATTACAGAAATGGACCTTCTGGCAGTATTGTCTGGACCCTTTCCCTAATATGACCATGGATGGTTGGGTAATTTATTTTTAAAAAAATCCCAATGAGAGGTGTAGTGTTTAAAGATGAGATCTTAAATGCATAGCTTGGAAAGTCTAAAACCCCCCACCAAGCTTCAGCTGATCCTGACTGCTTTCACCTGTAATAACTACCCTTACTAAAATAATAGAACTAATAAAATATCTAGAGGCTAGAACAATAAGCAGCCTAGATCTAAGGAACCAGTCAATGCAAATTATTTTAGTCTGAACTTTTTACCTGTTTTTACAACTGATTAAAAGATAGGAGTTCTTATAAATTAAATATGCATTTGACAGTATTTTCATTGTTTCCCCACAGTTGGTTTCAGTAACAGAGTTAAAAACATTAACCTGTACTACCTCGTTTTAACTCACTGAATTTCAAGTTGGTTTCCCTTTAGTGACAATTTTAGTTGACAAATATGATTTTTAGAATATTGCAAAAAATTAAGGATAAAGGGAAGTGGTAGAAGAATGTAGACTTGGAGGAGTAATTACACGTAGTTGTGGGGAGAGGACGTCAGGGATTTACTGGGTTCAAATCTTTGCAGAACAAGAAGAGTCTAGACAACAGGATAATAAACTTGGTAAAAGGGAGTTTGCTTTTCCCTTCACTGATATTGCTAAGTAGTTCAAAAGGTTAATCTGTAGGAAATGCTGAGTTGTCTCATATAAAAGCTAGTTATGAAGAGATGTCAAGCTTTTTCCTCCCTGTAGAAGCAATTTATCCCATTTAATCCTAGACAGTTACTTTCCACTAGTTTTATGTGTAGTTCTGGGGAAGCTATTAAGATTTTTCTCCTGCAGGGCAGCAGCTATTTCTAACTTTCTTGTTGGGAGTCTAGTATCTATACTTATGGCTCCTGAAAGTGCAAGTGTGGCGGAATAAAAAAATACCTTTTGAGAGCATCTGTCCCAGAGTGAGATCAGTGTGGATGGAGGATATTAAGTCAGTTGTCTCCTGTTGAAGTTGAACAGAAGTTTCAATTGTGGTTTAAATAGCTGCTTTCATTATTTCAGCTCCAGGTTCGACGGCAGAAACCCAGAAGTATTCGAAGTCAATATGCAAATGAAGGAGTAGCTGACATGAGTTAGCAGCAGCTGGAGACTTTATTTCACTAACATGTAAAGAAAGTCTAAAATAAACATTACTGAGGGCAGTGTGAGTGTCTTTGACTTTAAAACAGAATCCAGCTGTTTCCCTCTGCTGCGGCTGTATTGTTTGTATTTGAACTGAGAGGGGATCAGTGAATCGTAAGAACTCTATCCTACAAGCTCCCCCAAATTCCATTTATTACAGCATAAGCAGGGGGTTAGCTATATACACAAGGAGAACTATCATATTAAGTAAAAGCCTTGCTAGTTTAAAAACAAAAAACTAAAGCTCCAGGCAAGGGTATCTTACCCTGAGATGCTGGGACAAAGTTCTTGTGAGTGCTGATAGGGCACAGGGGAATAGCATAGCTAAAGCCCTGCATAAAGATAATATGCCCCAAATGGTCCAAAACAATCTTCCCCCTCCCCTGTTCTCCATGGGTGGTTGTCCTGGTTAGAACTAAGAACCATTATGCACATCTGTTTACACTGCACAGAACTGCTAAATTGCTTCATATATGACCATCCACTGTACACTCCTGCTGATAGATTAAAAATGTTATGAGCATGGAGTCCCAGTTTATAGTCCATTCTTGGTACTCAATTAGGCCTGTCCATTCACTCCTTCCTCCTCTTCTTGCCCTCATGCTCATGTTCTTTAGGGCGGCTATTATCCGAGGGCCTCTTAGAACCACCGTGCTGTTTGGCTTCCTCCAAGAACTTGTCCAGACCAAAGGGATCTTCCTCAAACTGAACGGGTCCCTCTCTGCCCCTCTGTCTTCGGTCTGAGCCAGAAAATTCCTTATCAGGAACAAACCTGCAGCAGAAGAAAGACGATGTTCAGTCCAGATTGTTCTAAATGGCATAGGAAGAGATTGAGTTTCTCCTGTTTTCTTACCTGTTAGTCTTTATTCGAGCCTCTAAGTCATCACCATACATGTCTTTGTCCACATTTTTACTAGGTCTGTAGATGTTCTGGGCCATGTCTTTACCACTTCTCCAAGGCTGGTCGTAGACATTGTAAATTTCATCCTCTCCTCCAGCAAAGCCACTATCCATACCCTGAAAAGGAAAAGAGAATGGATAATGCACGAGGTACTAATCCAAGTAGGATATGTGAGTTTTCAAAAGCTCAGTGAGGAAACATTAAGCTGATGAATTACAGGGAGGTACAATATATAATGTCTACTGATCATGAACTCTCAGTGCTACAAACATCTGTTGTGCAAAGGACATTTCTATCCTCAAGAAACAGGAAAGAGCACCTGCATTTTAATATACAGGAATTATTTCAACCTGCCCTGCAGAGAAGCTGTTTAACATACCACACCAGTTTTAAACTGGGACTAAAGCAAGTGAAAATGCTTTTAATGTTGTAATAAAAGTAACAGCAAGCTTAAAAAAATAAAATACCCAGGGAGTCTTAGAACTGAAGTAAAGAGGAAAAGCCTGCTTTTTCAGCTTTTTGCATGTTCCTTTTCCTACAGAGTCAATTTTCCTTCTTCCTATGGGTCTTTCACAAGAAGTGAGAATAGAAAAAATGATTGTAAAGTCACTTGGCAGGAGGACAAAGGGGCACATGGAATTCTTTCAATTAACTAGACTTCACTGATAGCGTTGATTTCAAAGTCCAGTTGGGACGCGGTTAAATAAAACTTACTGCAAGTAACAATCATTTGAGAAGTATTTTCAATATGAGCAGTAAAACATGGAGTTGCAGTCTGCCAATTTCAAGTTACTATTAACTTCCTGTTCTGAATCTGTCTTTACCATATGCCTCCTTGTCTCAGTAGCACATTTCCCTTATTTCTTAATGCATTCAGTGAAAATGAAGTTCCTTCATGCCCCTGACAGAGGGCCATCATCTATTTAAGTATTTAGAGAGTATCCAATCACTTTAATATCTCTGCACTAAATGAAAGGGAATCAGAACAGCTGGCTGAAGTGGCTCCTGCTCTGTCTTGCAACATGTCTCTGTCTGCCTTCAGAGTTTTCCTCTGTACATCCAGCAGAAAGGGGTCACTTATTATCTACACTGGACTGTCCCTACAAAGGGATGAGTTGGCCCAGCATTCACCTTTTAGAAATTAAACACGAGTGTGAAGGGGTCTCATTTCTTTACCTTGCTCTGGTTGAAAAGCCTCTGGTCATACTGGACCTCATTGGATGTACGAGGGTTGGGAACACCCAGGGCAATAACTTCGCTGATATCTCTGTTCTCATTTCTCTGCAGCTTTGACCTGAGTTAAAAATGTAACAAATTTAACACTGTTAATTTGGAAGATAATCAAAATTATTAAAGTTAAGATTACAAACCATGACCTGCTGCTGGAGCAATGACTAAGACAGTGTCCATCAGAAGCTGGATTTTAACCCCAAAACTTCCCTTTTTAGGCTGAAGATTAACTTGTGGTCTCTTGGCACAGGAGACATTTTGGGGAAGTCATGTTTTAGTTGGGGGAAGGCCTTTGAGTTTGCTTTTCCACTGTTTAACATCACATCAAACTGGTTGGGGTTTAGAAACCTCTGTATCTGTTTTCAATCAGAACCAGTACAGAAGACAATCTTGGGTGGTTAATTTCAGAGCTAATCACTACAAAAATTTCAAAGTGCAAGCTCTGTGAAGTCTTTGGGAGCTTAAAAGTTGGTCTGGGCAAACACACAGGCTTAGCCTGAAGAGAGTTTAAACTTATTAAATTCAAGCAAAATGGTTCAGTTAACTGGAACCACATACCAGGAGTGAAATTCTGGCCCTACTGAAGTCAACAGCAAGTTTCCAATTGACCTTGGGTCAGAATTTCATCCCAACTGAGACTTTACATGATTCCCAGGCTCTATATCACTAAAACTTTGCTTCACAACTAAATTCCTCAGCATGCATGCAGAATTTATAAATGCCTTCAGAAAAATGGTTCTGGGTCAGGGTATATACATAAGTTTGAGAGCTCTCTGAGTTAAATAGCTTCTGATCAAGAAAACTAGATTCCAGAGGTTAAGTGCCATACTAACTACTACAAATCTTTCACTACTCACAAGTATGTCTACACTACAACTAAAAGCCCACAGCTGGTCCATCCCAGCTGACTCAGGCTGCCAGGGCTGCAGCCTGAGCACTCGGATCCTCCCACATCTCAGGGTCCTAGAGCCCGGGCACCAGCTCAAGACTAGATGTCGACACTGCAATTAAATAGCCCCTGAGCCCAAATCAGCTGGTACGGGCCAAATGCGGGTTTTTAGTGTTAGTTTCCAGGATGTGCATGTTGATCTTAAGGAACTGAGTTTCCATGAAATTACAAGCTTTGCAGACATTTTGTGGGACTTAACTTGTGTTACCTAACATCTACTCCAGGAACTTACACACACTACTGGCAATACTGATAAAGCTTTTAAAATCCTGTAACAAAGTGAGGGAAGAATCCCAGTGAAGACCTCACACAAATACAGGTCACCCAAACTTGGCTCATGGGTAGAAATTTCTTTACTGTTATTTCCACTGCCTAGGAAGGGAGTTGCATGAATACAGCAATTAGATAAGCTGCTCTTCGTGACTCACCTTTTGTCAGGGGCTGCTCTGGAAAGATTCCTGTCATGCTGTCTCTCTTTGCGCCGGTCATGTCTGATTTCGTCCCTCTCTCTAGCTTCTCCATCCTCTGTACAGACACATTTAAGATTGTTGATAACAAGACAGCTACTTGTTATTTGATAGAGTTAAACCAGTGATCACTGAAGTAACTGAAGTCAGTGTTGAGTTACAGAAAATGAAGGGCTCTACAACTTTTAAAATCAGATGTTTAACAGAAAGTGAAAAAGCAGATTTAAAAAGATCCCTTTCTAATGACATTGAAAACATTTCTCTAACACCTGGGCTTGATAAGATAGATGGAGGATGCAGTCTGTCTGAACCACGTTTTCTTGGCTTTCAGGGATTCTTTTCTCTCTGCAACGCCTGGGGATTAACACTTGGCAAATCCCATGGAAGTTAAAGGGTCCCCAATGTGCTACAGAAGAGTTATGCTTTGAAGTGTTACTAAAATTAGGTTTTAGAATCAAAGAACAAATCCTGTTATGCATGCACTTCCAGCTGTAGGGAAGAGTATCCAACAACTGAGTGGATTTATCACCAGACAGTATGTCTGCTCTTTGTAGCTGGTACCTGGATCTTTGACATAACATTTCAATCTAGAGTATACAGCTGTTCCAGTACTTGGGATTCAGTTTAGTAACTAAAAGGTCTAGTGTGCAGTGTGAACTAAAGCCTGCAGAGTTTTGTTTAAAATAAGCCCAGTTACAGGACTGCAAAAAAACCCAAAAACCTGTCTGACATCCTCTAAGACTTAAAAAAGCTCATTTATGATTTGTAATGTCAGATTTGTTCTTGGCCTGTGACTGTCTTGTCGTGGGTTGGCATAAATATGTAACTCAGTTATAGTCCTGTGAAAAGACTCAGAATGGAAATCTTGGCACACTCTTGACAATAGAAGTGAATTAGTTTGTTTTTTCCACCGCCCCAATCTCTCACTGCCCCATCCCCTCCTTTAAGTCAAGGGTTCCCTCTACAAACCCATAAAAGCTGCTCCTTGTTGTGGTCAGAGTGCATCTCTACCTTTCTGAAGAACCTTCTCTGCAACATTCACTGACATGGGAGCTTGGGGCTCAAAATCAAACTGCACTCCCACTAACTAGCTGAGTTGACTCAAGGTCACTCAAGACACGAGAAACATTTAGTGTGCTTAGCAATTACAGTTTGGGTTTAGTTAACATAGGCTCTCATATTCTTTCAACTAGTTTAAAGGGTTCGAACTAACATGAAAGCAACTTTAATATTCTGACAAGATTTCTTGCGGGGAAGGAGAGGAGGGATGTACCTTTCTCAGCATGGGTTTTGATCCCAGCTCGCCTCTCTCGGGCTTTCTGGGCCATTTCTCTGAGCTTTTCCTCATGCTTTTCCTTTTCTTTCTGTGCCATCTTTCTCTCCACCTGGGCACGCATCTCCACAGCCTCACGAGCCTGCATGAGATTAAAAACACTTGTTAATACACTGGTGGGACACGGGATGCAATGAGAGCAACAGCTACGAAGCTGCCCACTAAACAGCCTTTTTTTCCAATACAAATCAGACTGTAAACATGAAACAAAACCAGGTAGCCATATAGCCTAGCATCTAAGACTAACAAAAGAGCCACAAGCTCCCTGGAGACCAGTCCATGCTGACCTGTTGATTCAAATATCTTGATGATACAACGTATATGTCTCATGTCAGCCCAAGAGGAAGATGGAGTAGAAAGCTACAACTTCACTCAGTTGATTTTTCCCAAGGAAATAAAAATACACAGAAGAAAATAATTAAACCAACCATAACAACACTGAGATTAAACAACAGCCTGACCTTTCTGTCAGCAATGTAGAGAGCCTCAGCCAGCTTGGCAAAGTTTTCATTAATATGAACAGTCTGCAGTCCTCTGCCATCTGCAGCCAGACGCTTGTCTAATGGAATGGTGTAACCCTCGAGTGAAAACAGACAGACACTTCATCACCAGAAATAAACGTGGAATACTGAACAAGGAAATCAAAATCTTTACCCGTTGTTAATATGCTTCAGTGGACTTGCATTTCATGCATTTGCATAATTATGCTGGAGAATACAAGCCTCGTCTCCAGTCTCCTTTTTTCCACAAGGATCATCTATTTTTTCAACTAGCATCTTTACTGGGATGAGAGTGATCATCCGCAATTGATACATTTCAGCTTTTGACTTTGTGTTAAAAACTTGGGACACACTGTTTCTGGTGGTAGCCAGTTTTAAAATCTGTGTTTAAAAAGCTGATTTCTCTGAATTGTTTTTAATACATATAAAATATTAGTCACCAGGACTCTGTCCCCAGGAGACAAGGCTCCCAGTGAGGCTGGGAGATAGATAGGGTCTGCCTCCACCTCAAAAATGCAAGTCTATGAATATTGCAGGTATTTTGGGAGATATTTAAGACAGGCTTCTATGAAGTTTTTGCTTAACTGGGGTTTAAGCAGTTTTAACCTAAAACTGGAGCCTCTAAATCACTGTCAAGCACAGTTAAACAGTTGCATTTGGGTAGGAAAAAGTATCACGGCATGTTGCTTTTCCTGCCTCCTTCATTTGGAATTTCTGCACAGCAGCAACTTTGAGAGAATGGTCAGAATTGTCACTGAAATTTTATTAGTATCTCCTGCAAACACTGATCTCCTGACAGAAGTAGTGGGACCCTCTATAGTTCCTGCTGAGTGGCACAACACATACATCCCCTGCCGGGGAATAATTTAGTCAAATTGGAGATGGAAAATTCACTAGTTTTGGAAGGCATAATTGAGAACTATCTGGAGAGTCTGAGTGAGTGTAAAGAAATACACTCTGTCCTCTGATGCCAGTTTCCCCTTTTATCAGTTTAATTGACTTTCACAGAGAACCCAGAGGTTTGGTTTCAAATTCCACACTGCAATATTATGGGGATTTTATTAAATACCATTTCTTCTCTCAACACATATAATCTCTTCTATGAAGTAATACATTCCCCATCAACTCTGTGCTCCTGTCATCTTGACACTCCTAATAAATAGGAAAGAGAAAAACCGAGCTCTACAACTGTTCTCCATTCTGAAAGCAGCCAGTTTACAGAGCTCTAGAGGTTTAAAGTCAGTATTAGTCAGGCTCCAGATCATTCACAGAAGTCTCCCAGCAGGATGCAATATTAAAGGCTGAGTTTATGACAACTTAATTACCTTTGCATTTTTCCAGTTTGAAATGCATGGAGGAATTTTCCACTCTTGTTGCTCTTTCACGGTCATCTGAATTGAGAGAATGGACAAGGGATGGGGGTTGGGGGGATAAGAGAAAAGACTTTTTTTAGATTTATACCAGTAAGGAAAATTCTCCACTTCTCTCTCAAAAAGACAGCTAGGGAAGTATTGGGACAATTCAGAAAGCAAAGGTTCTTTGTAAAGAAATAGCAAGATGCCAAGTCACTGTTCCATGATGAGCTATAGCCAACATCCTGGAATCCATGATTGGACAAGAGTGTCCCTTGAGAAGGAACAGAGAAGTCACTGAGCCCTACAAAAGATGGCAACCATCAACACAACACCCAAAGTTGTATCCTGCTCTCTTCCTCTCTGGACTGGCCATCTAAAGGAAGGGTGGTAAAAGACTACACCAGTTGAGCCAACCATGCTACAACTAAGAGAGAAGAGACCAACCCTCTTCCTCACATGTGAATGTGCTCAAATTACATGTCATCATCGTCAAAGACAACAGTTAATATCAGTTTAGATCCAAACTAAGACCAAATCATGTGAGCTAAAGGTTTTGGGAAGGTGTGAAAATCCTTCTCTAAAGCAATTTGAGGATGCTCAAATCGTTCCAATGCTCACTAGTTCGCGTGTGGATGTATGCGTGTCTCTCTATGAATTACAAACTGTTCTCCAAAGTGGACGCTAAACCTCTAAGTGAGTTACTGAAACAGTAAAAGATATCTGGGTTAAACCAGTATTGTTCTAAAGCTCTTATAAGTCTGGGATTTTATAAATCATTCTGTGCCTGTGCCAGACTGCCAGAAAGATGCAGGCATTGTGTTAAAGTGGGGAGGGGAATATATTAAACAAACCAAGCTTCAGAAAAATTTTCGAACAGTGATGGTTAATGGGAGAAAAAGCCAAAAAGGATGCTATGGGAAATTATTTTAAGAGCTATATTTCCCTAAAACCGAGACAGGCAATAGCCTTTGCCTCTTAGCAGACACTGAATTAAACTGTTCAAGTCAAAATGCATGATACCTTGCAAAGGGGGAACTCCAGGTGACCTGGCTGGAGGGCTGAGTCAAGATTTTTTTTTTTTTTGGGGGGGGTGGGGGGGGAGAATAGCTTAGTGGTTTGTGCATTGGCCTGCTAAAGCCAGGGTTGTGAGTTCAATCCTTGAGGGGGCCATTTAGGGATCTGGGGCAAAAATTGGGGATTGGTCCTGCTTTGAGCAGGGGGTTGGACTATATAACCTCCTGAGGTCCCTTCCAACCGTGATATTCTATGATAAGGAATATCTCCCCTTAACCTTCCTGTAAAAATTTAAGACGACTGTTTTCCATAACTTGCTCATAATTAAATTACTAAATGTAGTAATTGACTAGCCAGATAAATTGAACCATTGACTTGTACCCTCAATTTGACCATTGTATTATACCTTTATATAAACTATAAGTTAGCTGGTGACATTTCACTTGAACTTATTTGTTACTGCTTGCTTAATCTTTTAATAAATTTATAAGAGATGAATTGAACTGGTTTATTTCTCAAAACTTCAGCGTAGATTAAGTAACCTGCATATGAAAAAGGTAATATCATTAATCATTCCTGAGCCCATATTTATTTTAATTACTTAAAATAATGCCCTGTTATTCCTACACACTGCAAGAAACAAACACAGGCTGGTCAAAGAGGAGTATGGATATGCTAAATCTAGAGCCTCACCCAACCCTCCAAGCTGCAGAGAGTCACAGCAATGTGAGCCTTTGTAAAACAAGTGGGGAATTTAAATCAACCTCTGTGAAGGTATATAGGAAAATACACCTTCAACACTGCCCAGACACAGAATTTTACATTTCACACTAAATTACTCACCTAGCAACACACCTTAAGGCAGAGGAAAGGAGAAAAAGCACCACAGGTAGCAGCTAGATATCAACAGAGTGGGGTTTGAGAACACATGCTAGAAGCCAGACCAGAAAATAGCAGCTACATTCAATACCTTTCTGCTGGGGGAGTGCATTACAGGAGCAGGAGGAGAAGGTGGCCCACGAGGAATTTTCTTGTTAATCCTGAAGGATAAAGGATAATGTGATCAGTAGGCAGTCAGGAAATGTGCTTATCAAAATCCTCTACTTGCTATGAAAAATTCCAGGTACTCACTTGAATCTTGGAGGTTCCATGGGGTCCTTCTGCATCTCCACCATTCGAATAACCCTCTGTTTTGCTCCAGAGTTGAAGGCCACACCCTGCTGAGATGGTGTGTATCTGAAGAAAGCAGTTGAGATACATTCAGTTCTCTATACACTGCCAGCCTCATCCTTCCTTATTTAACTGCTCTGCATTTCAGTTTTGTTCACACCAATTTTTTAAAATGCTCTTCAACACCAGAATGCACAGATGTAACTAGATATTCATTTAGCATTTGAACTGCCCCTTTTCAGGCTATAGTGGTATGGTGTCCTGTTTCTGCAACAGGACAGAGTGTAACATTTAAGTTACAAACTAGAAGGATGAGAAGAGTCTTATCTAGTCAGATGCCATAGTACATACTCATAGACATTGTTGGACTACTCACTGGCTGTGACACAAAAAAGTCCTTAATATACTTGCAGAAGTATGCTCTGAAGTGACCCAAACTCTGGTTTGGAAGTTTCTTGTGGCTGCAGCTGAGATTCCTTCTAAATAAAGACTATTCTTCTCGTTCAGAATTGCTTTAGAGTTGGTCACACTTAGTAAAGGGAGAGCCTGGTTATAAAGACCTTATTTTGAATGGAAACACACACATCATGGTCAGTTTCCCTAGCACACTGTGCCCTCTGTAATGCGACTAATATTACATTCCATTAAAAAGCAATAACCTCTTAAAATGTTTTAACTTCTGGTGTGAAGACAATTAACATGGTTCAAAATAACTCATCATTAATAACGAAGTCTACATTTCTTGAATTAGTTTCATACTGCAGCCTCCTGCAAAGGAGTAAGCTTAAAAAAAAGAGGAGCCTCCTCCTAAAAATCAAGGCATGCTCTCACTAATCAATTCTACACAAAAGGGTTATATACTCTAACTCAGTCCATACCGGATGTACTGAGCTGGAGCTAGTTTGTCGGCTGCTCGGACTGGCATGGCTGCTGCAACTTTCTGGGAGACCGATTTCTCCAGGGCTGCTCTTGTTTTTTCAGTTAGCTGTAATCAGGAAAATAATGTTGAGTGCCATAACAAAGATGCAAAAAATAGAATGCAGCTCTAATAGCTATATGCATCAATGCATACAGTACCTCTTTCACTGCTTCCTCATCAGGTCTTTGCAGGTCGGGGTCATCCACATTCATAACCTCTTTAGGTACCAGATCTGTATATTTGCTGTAAATTACCTGAAACACATTATAATTGATCAGTGCTGTGAAACAGGAATAGATAGAAATGCACCATTCCTCAAGGTGATATTTCAGAAGATAGATTATCCTTTGATAGTATTTAGTATTTATATAGCAATCATTCAGCTTCCAGGTGCACCATAGTAATCAGGATTTCTCAAAAAACAAATAAAATAGGGAAGTAGTATCACCCCCATTTTACAAATGGAAAAACTTGAGGCAAAGAAGTGACTTGCCCTAAGTCACATAGCAAACTGCCATTAGAGCTGGGATTAGAATTAATGAATTCATGGCTCCCAGTCCCATGCTCTGACCATCAATTTCCTTTTTTTTGGGATCCCTCAGCAAAGCTAGAAAACCCTGATTTATATATAAATTTTCACGAAGAAGGGAAACTTAACTCAAACGGCTATCCTGCTTTTATACCTTACACCATCATCTTCCCTACCTCCTTGAAATTGTTAAATATTTGACAGATTTCATGTTTTTCCCAGCATGAATAATTCAGTCCTCCCACACACAGTTATTAAATCTTAAGCCCCAGTAAGAATAATATAGGGAAGGAGTGTTACTGAAAGGTTCATACAGGGGGAAAAAAACAAAAACAAAAAAACATTGCACCTAGAATTAGGATTTTACATCTGCCTCAATAAGAAATATCAGAAAATCCTGGCTCAAAGGGTTAAAATCTCTCAATAGCTATTCTTGCAAGTAGAAAGATGGAATAAACTGCTCCTAATAGCGTATGCCTAACTATAAAACTGACCTGTAGCCTCAGTGCTAAATAAGCAGTAAATGGCTCGTGTGTGCTACTTATCCACATCTCCAAAATTAATAATCCCTTAAATGAGCAATACTATTCCAGCATCTCACAAAGCCAAGTGAAGGACATCTGAAGAACAGTATTCCTCTTTGGTAATTAACCATAAAACCCAAGAGCCTCACTGTATGAAGAACCAAGCACATCGAAGGAGCTCAGAATATTCTCAGAGACAAGAGAAGGCTACAGGAGTTATCTCAAAATTACAATATACCTCTGTCAGGTGATTGGAGCACAAATGAGCTTTGTGAACTAAATCCACAACTCATTACCCACTAAACAGACATTGTACTTGTGTGCAAAGTGACAGCAAAGTGGATGCAACGGGGAGATCAGTCTGACATTAGTGGCGATAAACAATATTCCCACCTCCTTCAAAAACAAAAAAAAGTACAAGTATCTTATAAATTTTAATTGGACCACTTTTTTGATTATGAGGATGAAGGAAAGTCAAGTAAGAGATTCATTGCTATTGGGTTTTAGCATTTCCATTTTGAAATTACTCCAATGTGGAGTGATCAGTCAGAAATCAACTTATTGGTCCCACTGAAAGATTCCTTCTGCAGGTTGGGGCAGTCTTAACAGGCAGAGACTAAATGTTTATGTGCTATGGTGCTATCGGAAGAGACTGCTCTCTGCTCTTCCTATATCTGAAAGCACTTCACCTAGCAGTAGAATCTGATCACACATGCTTAGGGCTTGTCTACACTTACATTTTATAGCGCTCTAACTTGCTGGCTCAGGGTGTGAAAAATCACCCCCCCGGAACGGAGCAAGTCTGAGCGCTTTAAAGCGCTAGTGTAGACAGGCTCTGAGCTAATCCCCTCATAGAGGTGGATTACCAGGAGCACTGGGAGAGCTCTCTCCCAGCACTCATGCCCAACCACACTCGCACTTCAAAGCCCTGTCGCGGGAGCGTTCCCACGACAGCGCTTTGAAGTTTCGAGTGTAGCCATGCCCTTAGAATCCCATAAGACCAGGCTTATATGGAGAACTTTCTTGCCTGAAACTTGTCACATTGCAACTGTTTAAATATTTTTTCAACAATATGTTTGATTCTGTATATTCAAAGTGGCTCTATACAGAGCTTTACCAACTACATATGTAAAGTAAGGATCACTTGCCTGCCACTGAAATGCAGCCATCTACAGGATGGAATGTGGTAACCCCAACACTACAAAACAGATTTTTCCATTTTGTTCTGTGACATAAGTGACTAACTTCAAAAATCTTCCCTGTACCTCAACTGGAGAAGGCACCATCTATTTATCCAAATTGGTATTCAGGTCACTCCACAAAGACCCAGGATTAACCCTACTTCTCAAGAAAAGCTCTATCAAAAGAGGTGGATACTACTCTGATATGAGTAATGAACTATTTCACAAATTATTAGGTCTATTCTATTCTATTCATGTTTTCACACCATAGCCATCACTGCGATATCTGAGTTCTTTTATCAACATGACTAGCATTGCTGACAAGTGGTTCTCTCTCTCTCTCCCCCACCCCCACTCCCTCAGGAGACAACTATACGTGGCTTTATTTTAAATGTATGTTGTGTTATGTGTTTCCACTAGTGAAAGCAAGAATTAAGAAGAGCGTCTTCTACTTCAAATGGAAGATGGTGAGGTTTGCAGTTGTTCTTACATCATATGGGAGTTTGTTCTAGTGTTGGCCCAGCCCTCAAGAAAGCTCCATCTCCTGCAGACTAACTTTATCCTTGCAGTAGACAGTTCCACTGGGTCCAAGGAGTGCAGTTGCCAAATGCGGTCCTTGTCTTGGAGTTTTAAGTATCCTAGGCCCTGATCGTTAAGTGTCGTAAAGAAAAAGACCAAGACCTTGAATGTGATGCAATATTCTAGGGAGCCAGTTTAGTAAGTAGAAGATGGGCTTGCTATGCTCATAGTCGCCAATGTTGAGGAGACGCATCACTGCATTTTATACTAGTGGTAGTTTCTTGAGGTCTGACAGTTTGAGCTACAATAGTGCAATCTACTTGGGCATTAATCAGGAAATAAAATCCAGGCTATGTCATCATCTGCCAAGACAGTCTCCTAGCCAGCTGAAGAATGCAGAGGAGTTACTCACAGATGCTGCTGTGTGGGAATTTAGCATCAGAGAGGTATGCAGGAACACTCTTGAGCTACAGAATTTGACCAGTTCAGGTCCGCTAAGGGAGACTGCAGCATGGTTGCAAACTTCTCAAAATGCTTTCTTCTCTATATCAGCATGACCTTCTTTTTGAGGTAGAACTTCAACTAACTGTTCTTCATCTATGAGCTGATTTTTGTCAAGCACTGGGCTAACTTAGAATCACAGAATATCAGGGTTGGAAGAGACCTCAGGAGGTCATGTAGTCCAACCCCCTGCTCAAAGCAGGACCAATCCGCAGTTTTTGCCCCAGATCCCTAAATGGCCCCCTCAAGGATTGAACTCACAACCCTGGATTTAGCAGGCTAATGCTCAAACCACTGAGCTATCCCTCCCCCCCTCCTTAGCAATAGCGGTGTGGTTATATGTTGTGACGGATAGACAGAGCCATCTCATTTGCTCCCTTGCTACAAGGCTCGCAGAAGAGAAGCATGCAAGTTCTGTAAAAATAGCCTTTGAGAAGCAATGTCAGTGAAAGGCAGCTAAGTAGTATCACCTCCAACTCCACATACTATCACCAGCTCCTCCACGCAGAGCCACTCTACTAGAAAGAGGCTAATTCTGCCATTGTAAGGGTGGACTTTGGGGACAGCTGCCCTATAATGCAAGTTCCCCTAATATGGAAGCATAACATTAGCCTCAACAAGACACGTAAATCAGTGATGTTCCAAGAAGCATTAATTTATGCTGTGTGCCATCTGAATTCCATCACAAACCACACGGGCAGAGTTGGTATTGGAATAAGCTCTGGCAATACAGGAGCCAGGTGTGCTATTATGGATATCTGGTTTAGGATCCACAAAGTCAGGTCTGGATTTATCTGTAGATGCCTGGCTAGTATCGATTTATCAGGCTGCTTCTGCCATCCTCAAGAAGCAGAGGTGATATATCAGATCTTCAAGTACCCTCAAGCCCAGAGTTTTTCCATGAAAGTTCCTTGTACTAGGTATTTTTTATATGGAAAGGAAACATAAGAGGCAAATAGCGGAAGTGATGGAAGTTGCTGGTAAGCCACCTAGATACAAGGGTTGTAGTGATAAACCTGTTTGGCGGCAGCAGTCTTTCTTTACAGAAAGACCAACTATTTAATTCAAATTTGAGACAATTCATAGGCTGTAGAGAAAGCAAAATAACCTATGTTCCTAGCCCAGACAAATAAGGAGCTCATGAAGCGATCCCAGTTAGATCCAGAACACCTGGTGGGCCAATTTATAAATATCTGTTCTTCTTCAGCCATAGGTACTGAGATCTGAAGAATATCTGAATTATATGTATAGTCCAGGCTATTAAAGATTCTATAGTCAATCTCATTCATAGTGTATAATCACAAAAGTTAGATCTGTAAAATCCACTTGAGGTCACCCAATTCACAGCAGGCCAATGAAGAATCATTCCACATACCATACTTGCTAATGCTCTCTCATCTCCTTTAAAACATCTAGCAATGAGGCTTGTCACTTCCATAGTAGACTATTCCATGATGTTCATTTTCCTGAGACAGAATCTAAGTTTTCCTTTTCTTTATTTCACCTCTTAGTCCTAGTTATGTTCCACTATACCACCATAAATAATTCCTCTCTTCCCTAAGTGTTTACATTCAAATATCTGTAGGTGGAGTCAGCATGGTCCAGGATTCAGAGCACAGGACTGGGATCCAGGAATTTCTGCATTCTAATCCTGGCTCGGCCACTAACACACTGCCTAGCCTCAGGCAAGTTACTTACCCAATCTCTAGCTCCATATACTCACTTTTTAGCTAGGAACAACACTTACCTTCCTCATTGGAGGCTATGTGGATAAAGTTAAAGTTGGCACAAATCTTTGAAGATTTAAAGTGTTTAGTATTTTCCCCTTGCCCCCACTAGTCACTGCTTAGCCATGCTACACACTGTTGTATTATAAATCTCTAGCCCTATTAGTAGCTACATTCCAATTCTTGTGGCATCCCAGTGGAAGTCTTGTTCACAACTCAACATACTGCCATTGCCATTATGTACTTTTATTCCTTCGAATTACTTTCAGTCCACATGAGAGTTCAGAGCAAAACTGATTTTAGCCCATGTTTCAAATATGCTGTAGTAGGGTGATGTCATGAAGATACACAATACATGGCATTTATTCAACATACATAATTGATTGGGTTTTCAATTTAAATGATTGTAACAGTTTGTCTGAGGCATCATACTTTGAGTTGCATAATAAACTTCAGATAAGTGTAAGAGTAAAAAAAAAATAAAAAAAAATCTAATTTGAGTTTTTAAAAAGTTAATGATTTTTAACCTTCCTAGTGTTCTGATTAAGGAAATTTTCACCCCTGAAAGACTGAGTCACTGTCACATTTATTGGGCACTTGATACTTTTTACAGGGATGAGTACTGTTCAAAACCCCAAGGTAGATGGGGAAGGGGTGTAGCTTTCTAAAAGTAAGTGCTCCTCCTAGTGCTCAAATTTTCATAAAAAGCTCCACCAATCCAGGAAGAATCTTGAGTTCCTGAACAATTATCCAGATCAACATCTCAATGATTCTAAATTAAAAAGCCCCCTGTGTTCAGTTCTTTCTTTTCAGATTTCCTTTAGGTTACTCTAGAGAGGGATGAGTAATAGTTACCATGGCAAGGAAATGGTCAAACATCTGGTCTAGTCAAACCTCACTAATTCTCCTATTCCCACACCTGTTTAAGGAAAATAAAAGTTTTGATGTAGTCTATGATCCAATCCACCCTCTCTGAAATACGGGCTCCTGACAATGAGCTTGGGAGTTTGCATAAATGATCTTCTAAATGTCAATTGGGATACCACAATACCCAATTTAGCCATTTCCTTTTAGGAATCACTACTACAGATACAGGAGCCAAATCTGTCCCCATTGAAGTCAATGGTAGTTTTGTCACTGACTTCAGTGGGAGCAGGTCTGGGCCCAGAGAGTCTTACAGTATGGCAATTTTAAGTCAGCAACACTGCCAACCCCATATTGCAATGCAATGGAAGTTGCAATAACAAAATAAAACTCCAATGCAAAAGGGTTAAAACATGAAGACTAGTAAAAAAAAAAAAAAAAGTCAATGTTACTGTGACACTGGATTACCAGATGCCAATTCATGCCAAGGCCCCAAGCCTCACTGAACATTTACAAATGCATAGCTGGAAACCACTCTTGGTTACTTGTGCATTAACTTAACATCTAATATTTATTTTGCTGTGTTTAGTGTTTTATAAAATGCTTGAAGCATGCTGCATGTATTGTTCTCAAGCAGCTATACCCCATGTTATAAAGTGATACCAAGCATTTGCATTGTAAACCTCTATGTAACTCAACAAACCAGGAAAAAGACTTGTGCAATATATTTGTTGTACGTGTTGATGGTCTCTAACAAGATGTTAAATCCTGTTCATTAAAGGCAAATGAGCTATTGTATAATATCAAGGATCAAATACTCTGTTAAGTGCATTCCTCCTCCTCTTCCCCCCTCCCCTCATGACGAAGGGACTTCTGTGGGAACTCTGGCTATCAGCTTGATTTCTAAGGGAAGAATATATAAAAATGCCTCACAAGGAAAAATGATCATCTCTTTGCGGTTTGAACTCTCACAGGGCCAGAGACACCAAAATGAAGCAAGAGATCCACTAGGGTTATCCCTGGGTTTTCCTTGAAAGATATTTTGAATTGAAAGATCACTACAACTCTGTCACTCTTAGGATTTAGTTTGCAACTCATTTGTGTTATATGCTTGCTTGCTTTAACCTGTAAATAACTCTTACTTCTTTTTCCAAGTTAATAAACCTTTAGTTAGTTTATTACAGAATTGGCTACAGGCATTGTCGTTGGTGAGAGATATAGAATACAAACTGATCTGGGGTAAGTGACTGGTCTCAACCTGAATATTTTGTGATTTTGATGTAAGTGACCATTTATCACTAACTCCAGCTTGCCTGGGTAGCAAAATAGACTGGAGAGCCTGAGGAGACTGTCTGTGACTCACAGAAAGACTATATAGTGTTGCAGGAGTTCACATTTGTTACTGGGCTGGTGAAATCTAATTACAGAACATTCCACCAGTTTGGGGTGTCTGTCCTATTTTTGACAATCTGGCCTGAGGTAGGTACTTATGGTCACGAGTCATTCCAGATAGCATGACAGTTACAATAAAAGCACATAAGGGTCCATTTTTCTGGAAGTTGTGTTTGTGCTATTTTACTGCCTGCCTTTCATAGCCAGAAAGAAAACCCCTAATTTGATCCTGAATTACAGAAGTCTGACTGAAGGCTGCCTCTGATAAGCCGACCCGCATGTTCTTTAGAACGCCCCATGATGGCCACCAAACTCCAGTAGAATACTAGCCATCAATAGACAACATTTGAGTAGGCACTTTCACCCACATTATCTAACCTCTGTAAGATCACAAAGTTATTATCACAGTTACAAAATAGAAAGACTCAAGTAGCTCTGGGCCACCATATCCTCCCAATCGTGCCACTCACAGCTGACTGATGTTACCTCACCTCCTAAACTTTTAACAAAACATGTCAATGCTTAAAAGCGACCATCTAGATTTCTAATGTCAAAATGGTGACAGTTGGTTAGAACAAACATGTTTAACCCAATTTGTTTAAGGCTGCCAAACACATGCACTCCTATTGTAAGAATGTATTACCTTGTCCTTTGACTGTCCCTGTCGAGCGATAGCGTCGTATTTTATTTTTCCTTCTGCATCCACTTGAACGGCCAAAGCATTGGACATTTTCTTCTTTCGGCCCATATCCAAAGGGTACTGGGCCAGATGGATTTCTGGGAAAGCACCTCCATCTCCAAAATCCTGCACAGAAAGGAAAGAGAAGTGAGCAATAAATGAAACATGTGGCATGAAACAAAGCACGAGATTTGCCAGTATTTTTCAGCAAGGAATGGGAGCAGGGAGTGCTTTGGTTCCAGCACAATGGCCTTGTTCCCACAGTGCAACAACCAGACTGTACCACAGTATATTCTTTCAGTGGGCAGCAGAATTCAGAATTCTTAAAATAGAAGAGAGATGCATTCATTTTCCTTCGGGCAATGTCCAGAATTATTTGCTGCACCAAACAAGGGCTCCTATCCCAGACTGGAATATGTCAGGCACTACTGCAATGCCGATAATAATCACAGAATTAGATTCATACATGAATCAAGGCGGTTGAACTTTAAGTATTTTACTATTACAATACAGCAACTGCAAACTACTAATGTTACAAGAGTGACAGTTTTATGCTGCTAAACTATATTTGGTATTTGTCACTTTCCACAGCACAATTAGCAGTGGACTAGCAGCTAATTTTGTTGCTTTAATGATGAAACATTCTTTTCACAAAACCTGTAGCTCACACATTCAAAATGGTAGGTATGCTAGACTCCAACACACTGGCACTTGGGTAGGAATTCCAGGCCCCTGTGCTTCAAGAGTGCTTACCTGCCCTTTCACTCAGTATTTAATGAGCTGAAGGAGATAGGCCTCTCAAACCAGGCCATTCTGAATCTATAACAGTTGAGCTACATCTAGGATTAGTGCTCCATGCATTCTAAGAACAATCTGAGATGATTTACCAAGGTTCTTTCAAGTGTCACATTCCAAGACCCCAGTTACAGAATTAAATAGTCTTCATACCCTAACCAGACCAAAAGATAGTCACTGGTCAGTAAACCCAAATGAGATTCCTTTTCATAGTACTCTTGGTATGTTAGAGACTGATTTTTAAACTTCGTTTTTATTCTCTGGACCAAGATCATGCTTGGAACAGTTTACTGCTGTTAAAGACATTTGTACTGATCTATCAACTGGACAGATACTTGTAACAGTCCTTCCCACATACTTATCAATTCATGTACAGCTGGTGTTTGGAAGTGAGGCTGGATGCTATTTGAAAGCCATGACACCCAATTTTAAAAAAACATTATGTACTGATTTCTAGCTTTAGCAGTTTGAGGCAGTGACTACTAAAATATTAATTTTGCTAATTAAAATGCAGAAGAATTAATGAAAATGTGGAATTTTAAGATCTGATATCTCATCAGACATTAAAACTAAAAAAGAATGTTGTATATTAGTGGAAAGCGGCAATTGCTGTATAAGAAATCCTTTTCTAGTCCTGATGTTTTGCAAGGTATTAACACTTCAGTAGAGTCACTGGTCCCTTGTCCCAGAAGTGTTGTTGTTGTTAACACTGGTTTAGGACTAACCACACCAAGTCTCAGATCTCATGCCAAATGTCATTTTAAATCACTGCAAGGAATTTCTGGGTCAAAATACAAAGTGTCTCGGTGCAATTTCTCAAAAACCCCTGTTCACACTCCCAACTTGTCAGCATTTGCAGTTGAAATGAGATTAACCAAGTTCAGGGTCAAGACAAAGAACATGCATCATTATCTCAGGTTGTTTTTGGCAGTTATATATTTAACACTGAATGTTTGACAAATGCCAATGCTTTACAGGAGAGTAAGATAATCTGTTACTTATGAAAACATTGTAACCATGAGTTTGTTCTCCAATGCAACTCTTTTTAGCTGTCTAACTGTAATTATGCATGGAGAACTTTAATCTGAACTGTGTGTTTAACAAATCAGGAAAATGAAAATAGGCATGTGTTCAGAAGGCCATGATCTCAAGGGCTGCTTGCTTTCACTTTACAATATTATCCACAGGGAAGGTAATGTACAATATAGCTAGAAAGTTTCTGTGGTAAGTAGTAATACTGTAAAACAAAAACAAACCCAGAATATTTCCACTGGGATTGGTGGACATAACCAGTCAATTTCTCATATGGTGGGGTGCTACACAATTTTCTGTGCTATATTCAAGTGCTCAGATTTAATCTACCCTTTTTAAAATAAAAAATATATATAAAAGAAAATGAGAGCTATCACCAGAGCATGAATTCAAATATTTACTTCTAGCATTCGTGGTATCCATCCTTTCCGATAACCGTACGGGGGAGGTTCCCTGCGTGATGACACCAGTGCAGTCTGTCTTGACCTCTGAGATCTTGCCCTTTCTTCTAATTCTAGCTGGTCCTGAGACAGCTGAGTTGGGGCTGGTAAAAAACTGCACAAACAAAAAGAGAAGGATGTTAACTTTGACAGCCTCACCCACTCAACACAACTGAGATCAAATGCAATATTTGAGTCTGTTGTGAGAGTATTCCAAGGGACTGTTAATCTTTGCCACTGATCTGTATTGGATCTGAAATAATTTATAACATTTAACAGTTGAGTGCAGGACTTTTCAACTGGGCCACAGCTACTACAGAGTTGAAATATTGAAGGTGGCACTCTTTCTCCACCTCTCTAGACTTGACATAATTAATTAATACATATTTCCAACCCCTGTTTGAACCAAAGCCGGGCAGGAGCCATGTCTGCCTTTTCTTTAGCAACAGAGTAGTAGAAATCTTACAGAACATAACACAGATCTTTCCATGTAAGTATGTTTTCGACCATTCTGTCGAAGTGAATAAGAAAAGATCCTCCAATTCTTAATGACTCCCTTATGTAAATGGCCACAAATAGACACGATATACCTCATTCTCACTAAGATTTGGACAAAGTACCCAAGCTATACAAGACGTTTCCTTTCTCTGGAGCACCTCTTGTTCCCATTGGCTAAGAACAAAGGACTCAGCTAAAATTCCGAACTTTTAGCTTCCCACATTTCAGCTCATCCTGCACCCCCATCTGAGTACCACGCTGCCCGTCTTTACATGTCCTTAAGGAAACGTCTGGCTGCCAAAAGGTTTATATGTCAGAGTAAACACAAAGAGAGATATGCCTTAAGCTAGACAGAGAAATGACACTGATCTTTCAACTTCTCTCAGTAGACTGCCTTAGGACCTCGATGGAGCTGTGCACACGATGGGATCTATCATCCCAGCTCATATCCCGAGCGTTATGTGCAACCCCAGTGCACAGGGATGTCCCAGACGCCGCTGCATCAGACCCCAGACTCCCTGTGCCCCGGTCTCCACGCAAGAGTGGCTGTGTACCCCCCTGGAGAAGGCATCGCACCCGAGGGATCCGCTGTTCCCACACGGGGGGGGGGTGGGGGGTGAGGAGGGGAAATTAACCCTTTCAGCTCCAGAGAGCTCGCTGCACACCCTGGAGAAACGTTCCCGTCCCCGACTCCCTGTACGGGCCCCCAGTTGTACAGCCCCGAAGGGTGGCCGGCGACCTCCCCCCCCCGGGGTGCACGCTGCCTCCCGCAGCGCCTTCTACCCTGGCCCAGCCCCAGCGCTCAGCCGAGGGCCGAACCGGGAGGCAGGCCGGTGGGCGGTGTCCGGTCCCCACGCCCCGACCCGTCTCTCCGGCCCTGTCCCCGTGGCGGCAGGGCCCGCGGCTCGGCGTTCGGGAAAGGCCCCGGCTCGGTGCGGCCTACGCGCCGCCAGCGCAGTTTGTCCCTCGGCGGGGACGGGAGCCACCTCGCACCCGGGAGAGGGCCCTCCAGGACCCGGACCCTGCGGGCGTGTAAGGGCACTGGACCGTGAGCAGGGCGGAGGGAATCCGACCCCAAGCGGAGACCAGCCCCACCAACCTGGTGAGCGCCATCTTCCTCTTCTCGCTCGGATCGGGCCTCAGGGGCCCTGGCCAGCAGCCGCACGAAGGGAGATCGCAAGTGCGCAAGCGCGGACATCAAAAGTATCTGGGAGTTGTAGTCTCTCTCTCATCTTTTCTCAGCGGGAAGGTCACATGCTACACTACGCAGGCGTATGACCGAAATGTCTCATGGGAGTTATAGTCTTCCTCACAAGCCTGCCTCTAGACTAGATGACGCAATACATGTTTCTAATGCACGCGCGCATGTTGAACGATGGTGGGAGTTGTAGTCTCCCTCTTCTCCAGGCCCTCTTGCCTTGCGGGGCTGGGAGGTGTCTGTTCGAAAGGAGTCTGATCATTGATTAGGGAACTGACTTTTATGCTGACGCTCATAGCTGCTGAAGCTGCGATGGGAATTGCTGCCTTTTCATGCTTGCAGACCCTGTGCAAACACACTTACCGAGCACAGTTGTGGGGTTTTAACTTGGGATGTCTGACCCTACTGGACAAACACCAGACTTTTCTTCCATGCCTGGGGGTGAAGCTGCATTCCCATACTCAGTCACCACATGGTGATCTTGAGTCAGGATGTGGTGCATTGTGTTGTACTCTGATGACACAACACTGGTGTCATGATGCAATATTGTTAAATTGCAGCTAACCATTACAACATCAAAAAGGGTCAGTATGATGAAGAAAAACAACAGTTCCCGGACCCACCCTTGGATATTTCTGGCATTTCCAAACCGCTGCTGCCAGGAGAATGTCACAAATCCAATAAAATCTGGATAATCCCAGGAAAATTGCTTAAGGTGGCAATTCTGAAGGAAGGGAGCTCAATAAAATATTTGCATCTTTTCTCAGACATGCCTTCCACAAAGATGGCTGCTGAGCCCAGCAAGTTAACCCTCTAATTATCTATCAGCAGGATAAATTGTTCTAGGGAGAGACAGAAAAATATAATACAAGTGTGACTGCAATCAAACTTCTACTAATTCTGGTATATAGTACCTAGAAACCATAGATTGATGCATTAGAAATAGGTAGGTAGCTTGATTAAGATGATGATGAAAAGTGCTATAAAGTTGTAAATATTATAAGCATTATTATGAAACTCTCACAGGTAAAATGTCCTTAACTAGATTTAAAGAAAGTAACTCATATATTACATTAAGTGTGAGCTACTGGGCTGAATTTGTGTGGTGGGCATGTGTTCAAATACCACCAAAGTAGGTTTTTTAAATTAAAGAAAAAAAGAAGCCAAAGAAAATGATATTGGGAAAAAAATTTTCCAGTGAGTTTTGCTAGCCTGTGAAATGTGGACTGGACTAAATGGAACTCATCATGGACTGGGGCATTATGTAATGTGAGTAGGGGTAGCAGACTCTGACCTTATATAAAATAAAAATAAGAAATTGAATGTATTAATTGCTATTATGCTCGTGCCTAGAGATCAACAGAGAATTGTACAAACACAGAGTAGTAGGCAGTCCTGCCCTGAAGAGTTTACAATATAGCAGACAAAACAAATACAGAGTAGGGGAAAGGGATAGAAATTATCAGAAATTAACAAATGTAGGGTTCTTCCCAATGCTCCTGTGACAAGTGGTTTGCAGCTTCTGAATAGATAGACAAATGGATTAGGAAAACAGATAAGAGAACTGCAACCCAAATTTAGCTTCTAAACTTTCACTGGATGGTGCATTTGTGGGGTGAGGGGAAGGAAGGGCAGTCCTGAAGTCCTTACTCTGGCAAAATTCTGTTGGCTTCAGTGGGACCTTTGCCTCAGGCTCGAGCTCTCTTAGCAGAATTACAATTCACCAGATACATGTATATGACAAAAAGAAAAGGAGTACTTGTGGCACCTTAGAGACTAACCAATTTATTTGAGCATAAGCTTTCGTGAGCTACAGCTCACTTCATCGGATGCATGCAGTAGAAAATACAGTGGGGAGATTTTATATAACACCCATTGTTTCATGTTCTCTGTGTATACAAAATCTCCCCGCTGTATTTTCCGCTGAATGCATCCGACGAAGTGAGCCGCAGCCCACGAAAGCCCACGCTCCAACAAATTCGCTAGTCTCCAAGGTGCCACAAGCCCTCCCCCTCCTTCCGCGGACACAGACCAACACGGCTGCCACTCTGAAACTTGTCATTATTACTGTTGCTGAAGAGGCCGAAGGTCCCAGTGGGGAACGGGGCCCCCTGGTGCCAAGCGCTGCACAGACACAGAGACAATTCTGGCCTCGAGGGGCTTGGCAGCCACAGACGTGAGCAGGGGGTTGGGGGAAGAGAGGGGAGAGGGTCACAGATACAACACTCTGTATCTATGTGCCAGAAAATCCAGTGGCAGCCGTGTTGGTCTGTGTCCGCGGAAGGAGGGGGAGGGCTTGTGGCACCTTGGAGACTAGCGAATTTGTTGGAGCGTGGGCTTTCGTGGGCTGCGGCTCACTTCGTCGGATGCATTCAGCGGAAAATACAGTGGGGAGATTTTGTATACACAGAGAACATGAAACAATGGGTGTTATATAAAATCTCCCCACTGTATTTTCTACTGCATGCATCCGATGAAGTGAGCTGTAGCTCACGAAAGCTTATGCTCAAATAAATTGGTTAGTCTCTAAGGTGCTACAAGTACTCCTTTTCTTTTTGCGAATACAGACTAACACGGCTGTTACTCTGAAACCATGTATATGACAGGTATTCTTCTCTCCTTCTCTATCACGGGCACTTCAGCCAAAAACACAAAACTTTTACACATATAGTTTATCAAGAGTTAACAGGAAATCATCTTCTCAGTCCTCATCTGTCTCTTCTCCCCTCCCTGCTTCCTTCAGTCCTCTAGCAACAAGCATATCTTTGTCTGTTCATATAATATTGCCACTGCAGGTTCAAGAACCTTCTCCTCTGTAGCTCCCGCCATTTGAAACAGGCAGCTTCTTGTGTCTCTCTGCCTCTCCAAACCCTCTTACACAACTCAGCTGAAAAAACTACTTTTTCTCCCTTGCTTCTGGATCTCATTCTCTCCCTCTGCTTTGATATATTATTTAATGATGTATGGTAAGTAGATTATGCAACTTTGTCAAGTGCTTTGAGATACAGTTTTTATGAAAGCTGTTGCTAAAAATTGTTGTGTAAAATTGTACCTGAGCAGTCTGCCTCAACTTGAATACATGCTCCACTGGTTTCCTTGCTCTCCCTGCTTATTCCTTTTGCAGCTAAGGCCTGGGATACACTAAAAAATTAGGTCAACACCCCGAGTGACATAGTTAAGCCAACTTAACCCTCAGTGTAGACAGTGTTAAGTCAATGGAAGAATTTTTCTGTTGACCTAGCTACCAACTTTCGGGGAGGTGAATTACCATCCTCTGCCAACAGGAGAAACACTCCTGTCAGTGTAGGTAGTGTCTACATTTACACACTACAGAGGTGCAGTAGCATTTCAAGTTTAGAGAAGCCCTGATCAATCTTTCCTCTTTGCAGACAATAACCCACTTTTGTTAGTAGGTGTTTATTATAGCTTTCTGGGTATAAGCAGCGACCCAGTTCATTTGAATCCTTTTTTGCATTCTCCCCGAACTTGCATCTCGTTGCAGTTTAATTGTGAGGTGTGAGTTTGGCTAATTTAGTGTTTGTGAAACTAAATGGTTATTTACACTGGTGTTGCATGCTTGAAGTCAATAACGATACAAGATTCTCAAATAACAGGCTCAAATGGAATTATTTAATGAAAGACTAACAATCAGAGATTAGCAGAGCACTATACAGAAAGAAAGCATACTTTATCACCTCTTGTAGGTAGTGAAGAGAAGGCAGTTTGGTCCCTTCCTTAGTACCTGGTGGAATGCTGAGAGTGTTCATTCCCAGCCTAACTTTCCAACCCTTTTCCTTTTATAGGGGGTGAGACAAAGGAAACTCCTTTTTGGAGGGAAAATTGTTTTCCCATGATTAATTTCACTATGTGGTCTATTTGACATTTTAGTTTTTCCTAATTACTTATGGAATTTCTTGGAATCTTTAGGTTACATGATTGATAAGCTAAAAGGAATTCTAATTCGGTTATTATGATTGACAGCTGTGGCAACTGGCAGTTTTTACTGAGTTAAAAACATCTTTCAATAGATCCTTATTTCACCCATTACAGAAAACTTCTGCAATAATAAGTACCTCTTATCAATCATAGAATGTAATTAAATCATAGGCACCCCTTACCAATTACCCAGTCTTGTTTATACCATATTTCTATTCAGGCTGTTAAGTGATTAAAAAAATTAATCACAATTAATTGTGCTGTTAATAATAGAATACCAATTATTTAAATATTTTTGGATGTTTTTCTACATTTTCAAATATATTGATTTCAGTTACAACACAGAATACAAAGTGTACAGTGCTCACTTTATATTTATATTTTATTACAAATATTTGCACTGTAAAAAACAAAAGAAATAGTGTTTCTCAATTCACCCAGTACAAGTACTGTAGTCCAAACTCTTTATCATGAAAGTTGAACTTACAAATGTAGAATTATGTACAAAAAAATAACTGCATTCAAAAATAAAACAATGTAAACTTTAGAGCCTACAAGTCCATGCTTCAGCCAATCACTCACACAAACAAGTTTGGTTACAATTTGTGGGAGATGCTGCTGCCCATTTCTTGTTTACAATGTCACCTGAAAGTGAGAACAGGCGTTTATATGGCACTGTTGTAGCCTGTGTTGCAAGATATTTATGTGCCAGATGTGCTAAAGATTCACATATCCCTTCATGCTTCAACCACCATTCCAGAGGACATGCATCCATGCTGATGATGGGTTCTGTTCGAAAATGATCCAAGCAGAGTGGACTGACGCATGTTCATTTTCATCATTGGAGTCAGATGCCACCAGCAGAAGGTTGATTTTCTTTTTTGATGGTTCGGGTTCTGTAGTTTCTGCATCAGAGTGTTGCTCTTTTAAGACTCCTGAAAGCATGCTCCACACCTCATCACTCTCAGAGTTTGGACGGCACTTCAGATTCTTAAATCCTGGGTCGAGCGCTGTTCTGTTTTTAGAAATCTCACATTGGTACCTTCTTTGCATTTTTTCAAATCTGCTGTGAAAGTGTTCTTAAAACAAACA